CACAGAGGTGTAATGCATGATATACTGCGTGTGTCGTGCTTTTAAGGGAACTGGAGGTTGAATGGAGGGAGCACGTAATTTGGGAGCAGAAGAAGGAGAAACAATTTAGGGAGACCAAACAGGAGGTGGCAGTGGGAAGGGTCAACTTTGAGAAGCATTTTTGAAAGAGAATAGATAACAGCTCTTGACGTTGAGGGACAGGGAGAAGTGAAGTGTGACTCTGAAGCTGCTCAGTACAGGGAAGACTGGGTGGCTGGTGATAATATTAACCCAGATGCGAGAACATGGGCACTATGGATTCTCTACTCAAGAGTGCGGCCCCCACTAAAGAGTGACCACTAACTTTGGCACAGGTGGCCAGTGACCGATCAGGAAAATAGGACAACAGCAGCTGAGAAGCCTGCTCCAGAATGAGACCTCTGATCTCTTAATTTCCATGCTCTGACTCATGGCATCTATCATTTGGTTCAACCCTATTTGAAAGCTATTATCTAGAATATATCTGATCTACTGCAAACTTCTTTTGTTATTATTGTTACATTGCTTATCTTTCCAGTTATAAGACTGTAAGAGTGGGAACTCTGGAGCCAGATCACCCAGCAAGTTGTTGTTGTCTTAGTCGATCAGTTGTGCCCGACTCTCTGTGAACCCATGGACTGTAGCCTGCCAGGTTCCTCTGTCCATGAAATTTTCCAGGCAAGAATACTGAAATGGGTTGCCATTCCCTTCTCCAGGGGATCTTCCCAACCCAGGGATCAAACCCAAGTCTCCTGCATTGCAGGCAGATTCTTTACCATCTGAGACACCAGGGAAGACCTCACCCAGCAAGTAAGCTCAGGCAAGTCAGTTAAGCCTTTCTGTGCCTCAGTTTCCTCATCTGCAAAATGAGGATAAAAATTCCTCATGAGGTTGTTACAGGAACAAAGTGAGTTAATATACATAAAAGGGCACCTGGCATACAGTGTAAGTATCTTATGAGTGTTTGCTATCCTTACTAATAAGTAATGGAATATTTGACTGGAAGTAATACACATCAGTTCAGTTCAGTTCAGTCGCTCAGTCGTGTCCAACTCTTTGCAACTCCTTGAACCACAGCAAACCAGCCTCCCTGTCCATCACCAACTCCCGGAGTTTCCCAAACTCACGTCCATTAAGTTGGTGATGCCATCCAACCATCTCATCCTCTGTTGTCCCCTTTTCCTCCTGCCCTCAATCATATTAGAGATTTATTTTCACAGAATAAGACTGGAGGTGGGCAGTTACATGTTGGTGCTGTTGCTTCACCAACTTATCAAGGACCAGACTCTTTCCACATTCCACTCTTCACTGTCAGTTTGTTAGTGATTGCTTCCTCATGGTGGCAGAAAGGCAGCAGTAGCTCCAAGTAGTAAGTCCTCACATGAGCATCATTCCTAGCAGGAAATAGGGGCTTTTTACCTTGTGTAGGTAAAGGAGCATAACCTTTCCTAGAAGCCCCCAGTAGGTTTCCTTTCAGCTAGAAAGGTCATAGGCCTATCCCTAACTGCAAGAGCGGCTAGGAAAGAATCTGGCACTTCCAACCAATAAACAAATGAGGCAAAAGTGGAGCTGGGCTGCCCGCTGCTGCAAGGAAAATCCACAGTGCCCGCCCCCGGCCCCCAGTCTGGAAGCCAAAGATTTCAGGTGAGCGGGAATTGAGAAACAAGAGTGTAGCAGTGTCCATCCAGAGGGAATAAGCTTCATAGGCTTTGTCCTTCAGGTTTACCCTTTATTCCTTTCTCCTTAAGCTGTCTTTTTTAAAGTAATTGTTGTTTATTTATCTACTTACGGCTGTGCTGGGTCTTCATTGCCGCGTGGACTTTTCTCTAGTTGTGGTGAGCGGGCTTCTCACTGCAGTGGCTTGTCTGGTTGCACAGCAGGAGGTCTAGGATGCCCAGGCTTCAGTAGTTTGGCTCCAGAGCACAGGCTGGGTAGTCACGGTGCCCCGGATTAGTTGCTCCACGGCATGCGGGATCTTTCCAGACTAGGGATGGAACGCACGTCTCCTGCGTTGGCAGGTGGATTCTTTACCACTGAGCCACCAGAGAAGCCCTGGTTGTTAGCTTTTGTAAGACTTTGCTTTCTGACCTAGGTGAGTAACTTGATGAAATATGGAGAGAGGGCATCTTTGAGCTGGGGGACCTTCCTCATCTCCTCATCTGTTCTAGGCTGTCACTTTCCTTCCCTTGAACCAAAGGAAGAGGTACATAAATTTAGTTCACTTGGTCAAGAAGCTTGGATAAGCCACTCTGAAAGTTATTTCAAAGGAAACAGATGCAGGCTTCTCCCCCTTGGACTGCCCCGTGCAGCATCTCACCCACAGTGATGGGTTAATAAGCAGAGAATGATGTCAGAAGAGCTACTCTTTCTCCCAGGAAAGGACGTCTCTGCTCAGCGGTTCCCCTACAGTCCAAACCCTCACAGTCACAGCCAGAGGTGCGGCCCATAGCATCTCTTGTCCAGGTTCCCAATTCAGGTTCTCCATCACAAGAAAGACTACAAGCTGGGTGGAGAACTACAGAAGATCCAGGATAAGGCCTTTATAAAAGCCACTGAAAGCCTTATTTCCACTATCCAATTCTGTTAACAAAAAGAGGAGAAATGTTCAAATTCCAAGGCACTTAGTTACTAATCTGATTCTGGTCTACATGTGGATATTCAATAAATACTTGTTAAATTAAATTGAGTCAAGGTTTTATTTATTCAACCTACTAAAAGCTTATGTAAACCCCTTGGAGATTTGTGTCAAGCTTTTAAGTTGGAAAATATATGAAAAGTAGTATTTTCAATAGGTCAGCTTTCCTCTTAATGAGCTTTATGAGCTTAGTGTAAACCAGGGAGGAGTGGGAGGGGGTACCAAGCAAGGGGATAGGAAGGAGGGATGAGAAAAGGCAAGCCTGTTTCTGTCTTTGTCTGCATTTGCCTTCCTGGTCTCTACTTATTAACCAGCTACTGCCCTCTAGTGGTCACTGTATAAATTCTCACATGAATCCCACTTTTGTCTTTAAAAACCCTGATGACACCAGGAAAGGACCAAATCTCTTGCTTTGCAAATAAGTAAATTAAAGTCCAGAGAGGTGAGGTGTCAAAGTGACCCAGGCAGCCTCCTGGATTCCCAGTTACCCCAGTTTCATTTCAGACGCTGTCATAACTAATCAAAATTACAGCATACTAATCAAAGGTCCGTATAGTCAAAGCTATAATTTTTCCAGTAATCATGTACGGATGTGAGAGCTGGACCATAAAGAAGAGTGAATGCCAAAGAATTCATGCTTTCAGATTGTGGTACTGGAGAAGACTCTTGAGAGTCCCTTGGACTGCAAGGAGATCAAACCAGTTGATACTAAAGGAAATTAACCCTGAATATTCATTGGAAGGACTGTTGCTGAAGCTAAGGCACCAATACTCTGGCCACCTGAATTGAAGAGCTGACTCGCTGGAAAAGACCCTGATGTTGGGAAAGATAGATTGAAGGCCAAAGGAGACGGGGAAGATGAGATGGTTAGATAGCACCACTGACTCAATGGATGTGAATCTGAGCAAACTCCAGGAGAGAGTGGAGGACAGAGAGGCCTGGTGTGCTACAGTCCACGGGTTCACAAAAGAGTCGGACGTGACTTAGCGGCTGAACAACAAAATCATTCAACAATACAGGCAGACCTCAGAGAAGCTGTGGGTTTGGTTCCAGATCACCGCAGTAAAGCGACTACGGCAAGAAAGTGAGTCACACAAATTTTTTTGTTTCCCAAAGCCTACAGAGTTACATTTATACCATACTGAATAGTAAGTGTAACAGCACTGTCTAAAAAAAAAAAGTATATACTTTAATATTAAAATATTGCTAAAAAGAATGCTAACCATCATCTGAGCCTTCAGCAATTCATAGCAGTAACATCAAAGATCATTGATTACAGATCCCGAGAACCAATACAATAATTATGAAAAAACTTGAAATATCGTGAGAATTAACAAAAATGTGACACAGAGACATGAATTGAACAAAGGCTGTTGAAAAATGGTGCCAACAAACTTGCTTGAAGCCGAGTTGTCATAAATCTTCAATTTGTAAAAAATGCAGTATCTGAAAAGCATGATAAAGTGAAGAACAATAAAATGGTGTAAGCCTGTCATTTTAGTTATCTGTTATTTCCATTGTTATTCCAAGTAAAGCCAAAATTGACTATTGGTCAAGTTTAGATAAGGTATTATAAATCATACTGTTACATTTTAAACTTACTTAAGTTTAGAAAACGCCTGTTGTATTTTATTTAAAAAAAAAAAAATAGCTAGCTAGAACAGACCCAAAGTAGATTTGGCCATGTATCAGAACTCACTTATCATTGTCTTCTTGCAGGCTAATATTCTGCTAGAATTCTCCCTAAGGACTCCCTTTTGCTCACTGATGGGAAAAGGGGGGGTTGTCATTTTAACTTAGAACACATATTTTCATCATTTAATCATTTTGCTGGTGGGAATAAATTTAAAGTTATCCAACTGGATGTGTCACTTACAGGAACATTACTGAGTACCAAAAGATTTATTCAAATATTTAATTGGAAGGAGCTACATCTGGAATAAGTTTTATTGGAATTCTTATAAAAAGGAAAGTAAATCCATTAGAATTAATATCATAAACAGTCAGCTTTATCTGGAACCAGAAACATTAGTGAAATGGAGCCTAGGAATCCTAACCCTTTTTCTCTGTAAAAAAGCCAGTCGCTTTCCAATTTATGTGGCAATTATTCTTTATTGCTTTAGGTAGAGTTTTGTTTTCATCTAATGGTTTAGAGACAGATCACTCATGCCACCCCATTTATTTCTTTGCCCCCTTTCTCTTCAAAGAACAAGCAAAAAGAATGCAGTAAGAGGCATCTGCCTATCTTCAAAACACTTGAAAAATCCTGCGAAGATCAGGTCAGCAGAAACTCGCTGCAGTGAGGCTAGCAGTAACTACACAAATTAAGAGACACCCAGTGTTCCCCTTAGATGTCCACGTAGATGCCATTGATCAAATAATCAAGCCTTGAGTAACGTTTTCTGCGGAGGGATTCTAGGAGCATTCTGCCCAAGAGGGCCAGGCCTATGGCAAGAAAGAGGACCCCGAAGAGCACAGTCCCAATCAGAAGCCACTGCTCAAAGGCAAGGCCTTGCTGACTTCCTGGAGCATTGCTCAGGGCAGGCTCATCTGCACTGGCCTTCTCATTCTCCTGGGAAGCTGTCATATTTGTAGCGGGATACTCCACATTTGACAAAGGAAATGTAACAGAGGCCCCAGCATCCTCTGCGCTCCAAGTCAGACTGGTGATGTCTCGAAAGGGCACCGTGACTGGTGGGCCTCGCGAGTCCATGGGTGCCCTAGAGATGGCAGTCAAAACCGCAGGTGTGGTCGGGCTAGTGATCACGGCTGCAGGTGGAGCGGAGGTGGCTCTCTGAGGCTGCCAGGTCAGAGATGGCATCACTGCCGTGTTGGTGGCGGGGAGGGATGCGGAGAGAGACTTCGGGGTGGCCAGGATGGTGTGCAGAGAAGACACCGCCATCGCAGAGGGGAACGCTGTCACGTTCTCAGGCAATAGATTAGCTATTGCTGGTCCTGAGGAAGACTGTGACGTCTGAGAGTGGCCTTCTTCTTTATAATCAGATGATGGTGGACTCTCCGGATCAAACTTGAGGAGTTTCTCCAAGTGATCCGAGGATCCAGACGTCTGAGAAAGTGAATCTCTCCATAAGACCGTGGGCTCTGAGTCACGGGTTGGAGGCTGGGGAGTGGGAGTGATGGCATGGGAAGATGCACCAGGGAAGAGGGGGTTTTCCTGGGCTACCCCTGGGCTTGGCAAATCAGTTCTGGCCAAAGATGGGAAATCTGAAAATGGAGAGAAAATAATTGGAAGACTTCAACATTTCCATATGAAGGGAGGACAGAAGAGACAAACGTTATTAGCTTATTCAATAAGACCTCAGACTGTTGCTACTTGATATTTCATGGTACGTGCGTGGGGGCTAAGTCACTTCAGTCGTGTCCGCACTCTTTGTGACCCCATGGACTGTAGCCCGTCAGGCTCCTCTGTCCATGGGATTCTCCAGGCAAGAATACTGGAGTGGGTTGCCATGCCCTACTCCGGGGGATCTTTCAGATCCAGGGATCAAACCTGAGGCTCCTGCATTGCAGGTGGATTCTTTACCACTGAGCCGTCAGGGAAGCCCAATATTTCATGATGTAAGGACCGGGCCTCTCCTGCAGAAGCTCTGGTTTATTTCTAGAGTGATGGCACCTTCCTTCTAGAGGAAGGAGGAGGTGGGAGGAGCCAGCAAAGATGCTAAGAGGAGTTCAGTGGGGGCAGCAAGGGCTTCCCAGGTGGCACAGTGGTAAAGAATCTGCCTGCAATGCAGGAGACGTGGGTTCAATCTCTGGGTCGGGAAGATCCCCTGGAGGAGGAAATGGCAACCCACTCCAGTATTCTTGCTTGGATCTTAGTTCTCCAACCAGGGATGGAACCCATGCCCCTAAGTGTGGAGTCTTGATCACTGGACCACCAGGGAAGTCCCTGCCACCTCTCTTTATAAGGCCTGCAAGCTAAGAATGGCTTCTACATTCTAAAATGATTGGAAAAAAAAATCAAAAAGGACATTTTGTAACACATGAAAATTATATGAAATTTACATTTCAGTTTCCATAAATAAAGTTTTATTGGCACACAAGCATGCTCATTTGTTCACATATTGTCTATGGCTGTCTCTTACTGCAAGGACAGAAGTGAGGATGTCTGACAGATTGCATATGGCCCACCAAGGCTAAAAGACTTGCCTGAAAAGCCTAAAACACTTATTATTTGGCCCCTGACAGAAAAAAGTTTGTGGGCGCCTGCTCTAGAACACTCTCAAATAGAATGCTGATGCCGGAACTTCCAACAAAGCTGAAGAAAAGAGTTTCTGCTGCAGGTAATATGACATTGGCAGGCATAGTGTCACCGTGAGATAAACAGCATCTGTATTTTTAGGCTGTGTCAGATATTTTTAAAAAGAGCAGGACTCATCATATTTCATTTTAAAATTAAAAAAAAAAAAAGACTAAGTAAATGCTCTGTGATGTATGTGAACTCAGAAGTTAAGCCCATTGACAAGAATGACCAAAACAGCTGTTTTCTTTCTCAAGAATGCAAGGTTATAAATAAAACAAAGAGGGCTGGTCCCCTTTCTTGATAAGATTCATCTATTGGCCAAGATCCTAGAACCACGCTGGGATCCTCCACACCTGTTCCATTGACCTCACCCTCTGATGCTTGCCATTGGGCTGTGGTATTTTCTCTCAGTCACATAGACATGAGCTACAGAAGGCGCTGGGAAACAGCCCTGTGTACTCAGCCCCTCTTTGGAGTTTCACATGCAAGCGACTTCACGAGATAAAACAATTTAATTATTGACTATTAAAACTTGGAGACCAGCTGAGCCAACAGACTCTCAATTTATTCTATTTCTGAATTCCCCTATTCTAGTCTATTCTGGTCCTTGGTGGCATCACAGACCACCAAGCTGCAAAAACAAACTGACATGAAATAATGTCCAGCTGCAATGGTCTTACAGAATGAACAGAGTGCACTATCATCTTTCAAACTTTTGGTCTGTAAATATTAGTCAATCACAGGAAACTGAGTTCACCTCTAAACAAACCACCAAAAATATCTACTGGATTTCACTCTAAGCAGGAGGCAGATAATTCATTTTTATGGGGTAATCTCAGCAACATGGGCAGATTCAGAAACAGTATTACAAACACAATTAGTAAACATCTGTGAATATAGACAGGACACCAAGTCTGTTGTAGGTGAGTTTGCCCCTAGGTATCAACCTGCTCTGGGCTGGTGGTGCCCCCTCGTGGCTGCCACAGGAACTGTTGGATTCTAATTTCACTTCACGATCTTCACACTGGTGGCTCAGGCGGTAAAGTGTTCGCCTACAATGCGGGAGACTGGGGTTCGATCCCTGGGTCGCGAAGATCCCCTGGAGAAGGAAATAGCAACCCACTCCAGTACTCTTGCCTGGAAAATCCCTTGGACACAGTCCACAGGGTCGCAAAGAGTCGGACAAGACTGAGCGACTTCACTTTCACTTTCACACTGAACCCACTCCAGTATTGCTTAGAAAATCCCATGAACAGAGGAGCCTGGCAGCCTACAGTCCATGGCATCGCAAGAGTCAGACATGACTTAGCGACTAAAGCACCACCACCACCTTCACACTGGCCCTTAAAAAAATGGTTTCTGCAAGAGCCAAGCTTATCCTCCCACTTCCAGTGGAGAAAACCTTTACCACTGCTCTGTCTCTAACATATGTATTATCAAAGCAACAAAATGACAGAAGTGTTATGAAAGTTATAAAATAAATTCGACTATTATTTCCATCATGATGTCCCAGCAACTATTAATATTTATGTATACCTTAAAACTAAAACGTTTTCCATGTAACTTAAAAACAATTGGGTGTTGTTCACCTGAAATTTAGGTGACCTTTTGTTCTACATCTCAGACTTATTTTTTAATATTTGCATCGTATTCCCTCAAGTGGATACATCATGTTTTACACCCTACCATTCCCTAGCATTTGGATATCTAAGCTGTAGAAACTTTTAAACTAACTTCCTTTAACAGTCACTCCCAAAGTGCTGCTTTCACTTTTAAAACTAATTACACAGTAAGAAGTTTTACACCAATGCCTTTTTATTTGACATAGATTTTATGGATCAATGATCAATACAAAGAAATAGAGGAAAACAATAGAATGGGAAAGACTAGAGATCTCTTCAAGAAAATTAGAGATACCAAGGGAATATTTCATGCAAAGATGGGCACAATAAAGGACAGAAATGGTACGGACCTAACAGAAGCAGAAGATATTAAGAATAGGTGGCAAGAATATACAGAAGAACTGTACAAAAAAGACCTTCACGGCCCAGATAATCACGATGGTGTGATCACTCAGCTAGAGCCAGACATCCTGGAATGTGAAGTCAAGCGGGCCTTAGGAAGCATCACTAAAAACAAAGCTAGTGGAGGTGATGGAATTCCAGTTGAGCTATTTCAGATCCTAAAAGATGATGCTATGAAAGTGCTGCATTCAATATGCCAGCAAATTTGGAAAACTCAGCAGTGGCCACAGGACTGGAAAAGGTCAATTTTCATTCCAATCCCAAAGAAAGGCAATGCCAAAGAAAGTTCAAACTACTGCACAATTGCACTCATCTCACACACTAGCAAAGTAATACTGAAAATTCCCCAAGCCAGGCTTCAATAGTACATGAACTATGAACTTCCAGATGTTCAAGCTGGATTTAGAAAAGGTAGAGGAACCAGAGATCAAATTGCTAACATCTGTTGGATCATCAAAAAAGCAAGAGAGTTCCAAAAAAAAATCTACTTCTGCTTTATTGACTATGCCAAAGCCTTTGATTGTGTGGATCACCACAAACTGTGGAAAATTCTTCAAGAGATAGGAATACCAGACCACCTTACCTGCCTCCTGAGAAATCTGTATGCAGGTCAAGAAGCAACAGACATGGAACATGGACATGGAACAACAGACTGGTTCCAAATAGGAAAAAGAGTACGTCAAGGCTGTATATTGTCACCCTGCTTATTTAACTTATATGCAGAGTACATCATGAGAAATGCTGGACTGGATGAAGCACAAGATGAAATCAAGATTGCCGGGAGAAATATCAATAACCTCAGATATGCAGATGACACCACTCTTATGGCAGAAAGTGAAGAAGAACTAAAGAGCCTCTTGATGAAAGTGAAAGAGGAGAGTGAAAAAGTTGGCTTAAAGCTTAACATTCAGAAAACTAAGATCAGGGCATCTGGTCCCATCATTTCATGGCAAATAGATGGAGAAACAACAGAAACAGTGACAGACATTATGTTTTGGGACTCCAAAATCACTGCAGATGGTGACTGCAGCCACGAAATTAAAAGATGCTTACTCCTTGGAAGAAAAGCTATGATCAACCTAGATAGCATATTAAAAAGCAGAGACATTACTTTGCCAACAAAGGTCCGTCTAGTCAAAGCTATGGTTTTTCCAGTAGTCATGAACATAGAGAGTTGGACTATGAAGAAAGCTGAGTGCCAAAGAATTGATCCTTTTGAACTGTGGTGTTGGAGAAGAGTCTTGAAAATCCCTTGGACTGCAAGGAGATCCAACCAGTCCATCCTAAAGGAAATCAATCCTGAATATTCATTGGAAGGACTGATACTGAAACTGAAACTCCAATACTTTGGCCACCTGATATGAAGAACTGACTCATTTGAAAAGATCCGAATGCTGGGAAAGATTGAAGGTGGGAGGAGAAGGAGACGACAGAGGATTAGATCATTGCATGGCATCACTGACTTGATGGACATGAGTTTGAGCAAGCTCCGGGAGTTGGTGATGGACAGGGAGGTCTGGCGTGCTGCAGTCCATGGGGTTGCAAAGAGTCGGACACGACTGAGCGACTGAACTGAACTGAACTAAATGGATAGATATTATGTAAGTACAGAATTACTACATTACAATTTCCATAATATTCCATCATTTCTTTAATATTCTGCTTTAATCACGAAACAGATGAGAGAAAAGACACACATTGACAGCAGAAGAAAGGACACAATGAGGAAGAGGCAGCGAGAATGGATCAGAGAGAAGGATGTGATGGCCCAGCTTCCAACTGATGGGAGCTCTTAAAAGGGAGAAACAAACATTCCAATTAGTGTCTTGAGCCCTGCCACCTTTGGAAACTCAGACCAAGGTGTTCAGATCCTGCTAGACACCGTCCCCAGGTGTTCAACAGGCTCTTCAGTGTTCCAGGTGATGAGAAAAGAGGACCAGCTATATCCACACATTACTGCTGGTCCCGATGTCTTCATTCAGGATTATATATAGACATGAAGAAGCCAAACAGTTAGGGGCAGCCGCCCTAGCCAGTGTGAAGCCCAGAAAGTGCAGGAGGTGACAAGACTCTTTCCTTGCAAGGTATGATCCTGGATGTTCTGAGAAACCTAATTTGTTCTGTTTTTATTTTTCACAACAGTCGTAAAATACACTTCATACAACACACTACTTAAATCCTTTTTAGGAGAACAGTTCCATGGCATTGAGTATATTCACATGATCGTACAACCATCACCCTTATCCACCTCCAGAGCAAAACTGAAACTTTGTACCTTATCTGCCAATCTTTTAGGACTTGGGCTTCTATCACTATTTAGGAAGAATTTACACAAGCATTCTGTGCTTTATGCTCCTATTTAAAGGAATGTTGGATACATCAAGCTTTCCCAGTTCACAAACAAAACTCAGACAGAGCCTCATCCAGGGGACAAAGCAGGGTCAGTGTCCGGGCACCCTGGGCAGCACCATGCCCTGGAAAATCTTCACTGCACTCTCCCTCCAACCCCCAAACCGCTTCTCTTCAAATCTCCCCTAGTTCAGCAGACAGCGCTCCTGTCCATCTAGATGCTCAAGTCAAGAACTACAACTCAGGGCTTCCCTGGTGGTCCCGTGGTAAAGAATTCGCCTGCCAGTGCAGGGGACATGGGTTCGATCCCTGGTCCAAGAAGATCCCACATGCCAAGGAGCAACTAAGCCCATGCCCCATAACTACTGAGCCTGCGCTCTAGAGCTCGGGGGCCACAACTACTGAGATCATATGCCCTAGGGCCTGTGCTTCACAACAAGAGAGGCCAGTGTGATTAGAAACCCATGCATCGCAACTAGAGAGCAGCCCCCACTTTCCGCATGAGAGAAAGCCCACGCGCAGCAACGAAGACCCAGCACAGCCAGAAATAAATAAAATAAAATAGAAAAAGAAATAGGCTTCAGCTTCACTCTTTTCCTCATTCCCCACATCCACGCCAACCAGCAAGCCCTGCCAACACTACCTCTGAAATGGCCCGTAGCTTACTTCCCTCCATCTCCACCGCCTCCCTGGTCCCCAAGGCCATGGCCTTCCACTGTGATCGTCACCCCGCCTCCAGCCCAGCCTTCCCACCTGCCCTCTTGCTGATTCGTGCTTGTCCGTTCTGAATAGAGCAGTCAGGGTGAGTTTTGAGACATCACCTTTAAAATAGCACGTTGTGGCGGGGGGGGGGTGAGCTGGGAGACTGGGATTAACATACATACTATTGATACTGTGTATTAAATAGATAACTAATGAGAACCTACTGTGTAGCACAGGGAACTACTCACAGCTCTGTGGCGACCCAAATGGGGAGGAAATCCAAAATGGAAGGGACACGTGTACGCCTATAGCTGATTCACCTTGCTGTGCAGCAGAAACGAACACAGCATTGCAAAGCAACTACGTTTTTGTTTCGTTGCTAAGCCACGTCCAGCTCTTTGCAACCCCATGGACTGTAGCCCACCAGACTCCTCTGTCCATGGAATTCTACAAGCAAGACTACTGGAGACGATGGCCCTTTCCTTCTCCAAGGGATCTTCTCAACTCAGGGGCTGAACCTGTGTCTCTGGCACTGGCAGGCGATTCTTGACCACTGAGCCACCAGGGAAGCCAAGGGAACTACACTCCAATAAAAATTAATCAAAACAAAACAAGACACCAGCACGTTACACGCCTGCTGAAAACCTCCCGATGGCGTCTTATCACGCATCTAAATAAAAACTCCCTCCCCTCTACAAAGGTTGATGGGCTCACCCCATTTTCCTTCCTTCTTGCCTATCACCCTTTACCTGCTTCACTATGAGTCAGCCACTGAGACGGCAGTGTTTGAACAAACACTCCCAAGCCATTCTGCCTTAAGATGTTGGATCCGGCTGTTTCCTCTGCCTGGAAGGTCTTCCCACAATTTTCTCACATCTGGCTCCTCAGTGCTCAGATCTTGGCTTAGGGCTTAGGACTTCGCAGATGTGCCCCCTGATCACCTAATCGAGACGGCCCACTCAGTGATAATCTATTAGCTTAATTATATTAATCCTAGCTTAATTACCTGCTCTTGTGACTCTATTTTTTTTTAATGGTAATTTCATGTTTTCAGTTTCTCTGCATAGAAAATATATTCTTAAATAAAGGCCATGTTTCATTTTTTCATGATCACTGTTTTTTTTTAAATGGAGGATAACTGCTTTACAATGCTGTGCTGGCTTCTGCTGTACAACAGCTGCAAGTATATATTGATATATTCCTTCCTGATTGAGCCTCCCTCCCACCCCACCCCAGTCCTACCCTTCTAGGTCATCACAGAGCACCAGGCTGAGCTCCCACTAGCTATCTATTTCACTAGTACTATTTTTTTATTTAAAATTTCTTATTGAAGTATAGTTGATTTACTTTGTTAATTTCTTCTGTACAGCAAAGTGATTAAATTTTGAATATAATACATTATTTTTTATATTCTTTTAGGATACATTTTTATATTCATTTATATATACATTTCATATTCTTTATACATTTTTGTATAAAATGTATAATTGTTTATACATTTTTATATTCTTTTATAATACATTCTTTTTTATATTCTTTACCATTATGATTTTTCATAGGATACTGAATATAGTTCTCTGTGTTATGCAGCAGGACTTTGCTCTTAAAAGGGTTAAAGTAGTGCATTGTATGTAGGACCTTGCTGTGTATCCATTCTATATACGATAGCTTACATGTGCTAACCCAAACCTCCTACTCCATCCCTCCCCCAAACCCATACTCCCTGGCAACCTCAAGTCTGTTCTCTATATCCATGGTGATTCTATTTTTTTAAATTATTTATTTATTAAGGTTACTGTCTCTCTCTCTCCTAAAACATCAGTGCCAGAAGTGAGAACCTTCCTTTTCATGTTTAATGTCATATCTTTGTATCCTTAGGGTATTAAAAATGCTTGGCACATTAGAGATGCTAAGTAAAATGTGTTGCTTATTGAATAAATGAAAAAAGATAATATTGTTTCTACCTAAGGTATAATGGAGAAGGAAATGGCAACTCACTCCAGTATTCTTGCCTGGAGAATCCTGTGGACAGAGGAGCCTGGTGGGCTGCTGTCCATGGGGTTGCACACAGTTGGACATAATTTGAAGTGACTTGGCATGCATGCATGCATGCATTGGAGAAGGAAATGGCAACCCACTTCAGTATTCTTGCCTAGAGAATCCCAGGGACAGAGCAGCCTGATGGGCTGCCGTCTATGGGGTCGCATAGAGTCAGACACGACTCAACCGACTTAGCAGCAGTAAGGGTATAAGGATAAAAACTTTCTAAAACTTAAAGGAAACTTGAAAGCATTGCACCCTGAGAAATTAACAAGCCAAAGTCTCACCAAGACAGATCCAAATAATTATATTATTTCTACTTGGTTATTTTCTGTATTCTGAGCAAATACATAATTTCCAAGTATAGAGACTGTATCTCCAATGCCTTTCACAGAATTTGGCACATGGCGGATTCTCAAGAACTTCTTCTTTTTTTTTTTTTCCAAGAACTTCTTAAATGCGCTTCTTTTCAGGTCTGGATAACAAAATCCAGTGAGTTTGATTTCAGCGAATGTGATAATAAAATAGTTGCAACCTAATATCAAATGGAATTTTATATACTGTATTTACACAGGTCTTACCTCTTTCAAAATAGTCACCCTGGAGACCTGTATACTTATTCCAATGTTGCTGACATAGTTTACAGAGGTGTTTCAAAATGTTTTCAAGAAAGATCTGTGTGTCTTTTATCTCAAGAAGAAAAACAGAAACAAAAACAAAACAAAATGCTATCATTCATCAGTCTTTCACTGGAGAAAAGAAAAGACGTTTGGTTGCATCAGCTGAATTTTAAATCATGAGATTTTTCTGATGTGCCTCTGTATTTGTGATACCCTTTGGTAGTTTTTCTTAGACTCTTTGGTAGAAAACCTTTCTAAGTGAGCCATATCCTTAAATAATTCTAATCACAAGAGACAAAGAACAAGGTTCTTATTACCTCGAATTATCCTGTAACTCATAAGTCCTTTTGCTGGTTTCAGGGGACAGGCTTCCTTGCTGGGACAGAAGAACAGGTAGCAGTTGGGCAGTTTAATTTTTTTTTGAGTGTCGAAGATCATCAAGTTACATGCTTTGTCCCCTGTAAGGAAAGGTTTCACAAGTAACTATTTTGAAATAGGATTTTCCATAAAGCATGGTGGGCAGGAAAACTTCATTTATTCTGGTAGCCAACACAAAAATCTTTTTGTCTGCTGGCTGCTGACTCATTTCCTTTTCCTTAGTTTACTCACGGAAGGCAATTTTTAAAGACCTTGGGTTTAAAACTCTGAATGAAGGTAACTTTGGCAAAGCATATTAAATTTTTTTTTAATTTAAAAATTTTTTTGGTTGCGCAGCATGTGAGATCTTAGTTTCCCAACCAGAGATTGAATCCCTGCCTCCTACATTTGAAGCTGAGTCAATCACTTGGCCACCAGGGAAGTCCTGGCAAAATACATTTTTTAAAAAATTATGAACGTACAATAACACATTTACAGGAGACTTGGAAAATACAGGACACAGTTACATATAGTTCTACTACATATTACAATTATGTTTCTAAGTAGATAAAGATGTTCAGTATCAGGCTCTCAAAAATTAATAGAAGAAATAGAACAGTAGAAGGATACAGCAGACATGAAAAAAAACCAATTCAATCTAATAAAGATTTATACAGTTTTCACACAATAGCAGGATACAAAGTCCTATTCAAGTTTCCATAGACTATAAACCAGGAGACACTGGAACATATCCAGGGACATAAAACAAGGTGAAAAAACTTCATGATCTAAAGGTATTGAAATCACACCGAATCTGTTCTCTTGTCACTGTGGAATGATGTTAGAAATCAATATCAAAAGATATTTGAAAATAAGACACATTTTCAAGTATAATATGATATTTACCAAATGAGATCATCACAATAGTAAAAGATGCTGGCAAAACCCATTTTTAAAAGTACATTTAATTCTTTAGAAAGAAGCCTTCCATTTGCTAAAATATTTATCAAAATATACACAGAAATACTGACTCTACAATTCAGTACAGAGTTGGACTTTAGGAAATGAATTTAACCCTAATGATTTTACAAATTTCTTGCATCCTGAAGGCATCTTAGATGCCTATGAAGCCATCAGTTCTGGTTTTCTTGAAGGGGGTAGAAATCAGTAAATTTAGCCTTATATGTATCATGCCTCCTTCCAGTGAATGAATCTGCATAGGTTTACTTTTCAGATCATTCTTCTTTTGGGTCTTCGAATTTCGGCTCTACGTTATCATTTTTGTTTGTCTCCCAATCAGGCAGAGGTCAGAGATCACCCTTGATTCCCTCAATGGGAAACAAGACTGAGTTCGCTTCTGCAGGGGTTTTTATCCTGTCGTCTCTCCACTACCCAGATAACAAGAAAGGCACTCCAGTTTCTCTGACTTGTCTTCTCCCAGAAATGTGATAATTCTGCAGTACCATTTTAGCTGACACTTAGGTAAAGGGGAGGGTCCATGGAGTCCACTTTGTACACAGAATTTTGTGTCCCTTCTATCTGTGGGCATTTTTCTAGAGTCTGTGGCTATGGGCAAATTATCAAAGTTTTTTTGAGCCCCAAACAGTTAAAAACCAATGCTTGGTAAAAGAAGGAAAAGTCTGGGATCCATTAACTGAGACCCACAGTTACCTCTGCTTAGGGCATGGCAACCTACTCCAGTATTCTTGCCTGGAGAAACCCATAGACTAAGGAGCTTGGGGGGGGGGGGGTGGGGGCCACAGTCCATGGGGTCACAAAGAGTTGGATACGGCTGAGCAACTGAGCATGCACGCATGCACAGGAAAGCAGCAACTTTTTGCTTATGTTTTTGCTTGTAGAACAAAGCCGTAAACCCTCATTTCTTACTGAACACCCCCCAAGGAACTGAAGAGAAAGGCCAGGTGTCCTGTGTGGCCAGAAAACGCCCACATGGCATTCAGTCCTATTTGCAGGCTATGTTTCTATTTCACATAAATGTTGGTGTCAACATTTAGAGAAAAAGTAGAAGTTTAAATGAGAGCTCTATCAATTACTTCTCTATAAAGAGTGTCCAAAAGCATGCTCATCAATTTGAGATCACTGAAGGATTTGTTTTCCTCCTGACAGCAAATATAGGTGCTTCCCAGGTGGCACAGTAGTAAAGAACCCACATGCCCATGCAGGAGACATATGAGATGCAGGTTTGATCCCTGGGTGGGGAAGATCCCCTGGAAGAGGAACTGGCAACCGACTCCAGTATTCTTGCCTGGGAAATCCCATGGACAGAGAAGCCTGGTGCACTACAGTCCACAGGGTTGCAAAACAGTCAGGTACAACTAAGCAACTGAACAGGCATGCATGACAGCAAATATATGGTGTCGTTTCTACGTGAATTCTCTAGTTCTCTAACACCAATGGGGTGTCTTACAATTCAACTCGATTCTGATACTAACTGCCTGGAATGTCAGACCCCATAGGTCCAAGGCTCAGTCCCAAAAGACTGTTCCCACTCAGATGCCAGTCACAAATCACAGTCACAAGACACCCAGGTCACCCACACATAAGTCCAATTAGGCTGCTGCTAAGTCACTAGTCGTGTCCGACTCTGTGCAACCCCATAGACGTCAGCCCACCAGGCTCCCCTGTCCCTGGGATTCTCCAGGCAAGAACACTGGAGTGGGCTGCCATTTCCTTCTCCAATGCATGAAAGTGAAAAGTGAAAGTGAAGTCGCTTAGTCGTATCCGACTCTAAGCGACCCCATGGACTGCAGCCTACCAGGCTCCTCCATCCACGGGATTTTCCAGGCAAGAGTACTGGAGTGGGCTGCCATTGGCTTAGGCTACCACCTCCCATCCCAGGCTCAATAATTTGCTAGGACTACTCACAGAACTGAGGAAAATGCAGTACTTACTGTTACACTTTATTACAAAGGATACAAATGAACAGCCAGATGAAGAGGTACACAGGGTGAGGTTTGGGAGGGTCCCGAGGGCAGCAGCCTCCGTCCCTGGTAGGGATGGGGTGCCTCCCGGCACATGGATGTATTCACCAACTTAGAAGCTCCCCGAACCCACCATTTAGGGGTTTTCATGCAGTTTTATTATGTAGGCAAAATGATTAAGTCATTGGCCATTGTGACTGAATTCAGTCTCCACCCCACTTCCCCTACCTGGAGGTGGGTGGGGAGACTGAAAGTTTCAAGTTTCTAAGCAAAGTTTGGTCTTTCTGGTGACTAGCAACCCTCCCAAAGCTATCTGTGCTGGGCTTAGTCACTTCAGTCGTGTCTGACTCTTTGTGACCCCACGGACTCTAGCCTGCCAGGCTCCTCTGTCCCTGGGATTCTCCGGGCAAGAATACTGGAGTGGGTTGGCATTCCCTTCTCCAGGGGACCTTCCCAACCCAGGGATCGAATTTGCATCTATTACATCTCCTGGTAGGTGGGTTCTTTACCACTAGAACCACCTAGGAACCCCATCTATCTAGGACCCCACTAAGAGGCACCTTATTAGCATAAACTCAGGTATGGTGGAATGGGGCTCATTATGAATAACAGAAGAAGCTCCTTTGCTTAGGGAATTGCCAGGGTTTTAGGAGCTCTGTGCCAGGAATCAGGGACAAAGACTAGAAATAAATATGGAAATTTGTGTCCTTCAATTTCATGTCCATATATATTTATCATACCATAATCATTATAGAATGAAAAGGAAATAAAAATCTAAGAGAAAGCATATGATTTTGTTGGCTGATAAATCAAGTAAGGATCACAAGTTCAGTGTTCACTAGCTCTCCTAGGGTCCTTGACAATGGGCCTTTTCCATCTTATTAATGGTTTATCTCCAGCACCTAGCAAGGCATTAGATGCTCAATAAATTTAGGTGTTTTTTTTTTTTTTCCCCATTTAGGATATTAGGACAGGATCATAAAGTGAAGTCGCTCAGTTATGTCCGACTCTTCACAACCCCATGGACTGCAGCCTACCAGGCTCCTCCGTCCATGGGATTCTCCAGGCGAGAATACTGGAGTGGGTTGCCATTTCCTTCTCCAATGGGCCACTAGGGAAGCTCTTAACTTCATGACTTTTAAGGGCTTTTAAGGACAGGATCATAAGGAACTGAAAAATGATCATTGTTTTCACTTAGATACATACTTCTGTTTTCAGGTCATACGTTTGGAATCTGAAATGTCCAAGGTCGTGGTTCAAGCCTGTGGGCCTCAGTTTTCTTTTGTGTATTGCACATGGGTCATTCCAAGCCCCTCCCCGTGCCTCTTAGAGTCCTAGAAGCTGCAATGAGTGGTCAGTGGCTTCCTGACTCACCTATGCCACCAGCTCCAGGAAGGGAGGGGAAATGGAAATTTTGTGCTTCCACTTAAAATGCAAATGCTGATTTTCCTATGGGATGACTTAAAATTTTTATTTTTTGTCTCAATTCCCTTTCTGTTTAAATGTTCTTTCTTTTTAAAAAATTATTTCACTTGTTATTTTTATTATTATTATCTTGGAATACAGTGTGACTTTAATTTTATCTATTTATTGGCTGTGCTGAGTCTTGGCTGCTGCTGCCAGGTTTTCTCTAGCTGCAGTGAGCGGGAGCTGCTCTCTGGTTACGATCTCACGGGTTCCTCATTGTGGTGGCCTCTCCTGTCATGGAGCACAGGCTCTAGAGCGTGTGGGCTTCAGGAGTTGCAGTGCACAGGCTCAGTGATTGCAGCTTGTGGGCCCTAGAGCATGGGTTTCATTGCTCCATGGCACGTGGGATCTTCCCAGACCAGGGATCGAACCCATGTCCCCTGCATTGGCAGGCTGATTCTCAGCCACTGGATCATCAGGAAAGTCCCTAAACATTCTTTCTAAAGTCACACTGGGGTTTCTCCAGGGCCTTAGCAGTAAAAGATCCGCCACTGCAGAAGACATGGGTTTGATCCCTGGTCCAGGAAGATCCCACATACCATGAAGCAACTAAGTTCGTGTGCCACATCTATTGAGCCTGTGCTCTATGCTCTAGAGCCTGGAAACCACAACTGTCAAGCCTACATGCCCCAACTACTGAAGCCTGTGGGCCCTAGAGCCCACACCCAACAACAAGAGAAGCCACCACAAAGAGAAGCCCACACACCAAAACTAGCAAGTAGCCCCCGCTCACCACAACTAGAGAAAAGCCCGAGCAGCAGGGAAGACCCAGCACAGTCAATAAATAAACAAATAAAACTGAAGTCACACTGTATTTCCAATACTCCATGATAATGATAGCCAAGCATTTAAGTAGGATTTTTGGTTTTACTCTCTTAGATGCCTGTTAGAACATAACACCAGTGGTTTTCAACCTTTTTCTGCCCAGATACCTCAGTGATACATATACACTCATAGGTAACTGAGTCAGCTTAGGGGAGAGGAGAGCGCATCGTGGAACATTCCCGAGTGATTTTGCCACCCATTTTTCTACCCCACTGAGAATCCCTAGTACAAACTACTCAGCCTCATCGACCAGGTACTCACATCACAAAACACATGGAATAAACAGTCATCAAGGCATTGTTACTTACCTGATATGTTTTTTGTCAAGCAGCAAGAATTAATGCAGTCCTGTTGAGTTAATGTATGTATGGGCTCATTGCCTCTGATTCCCTTGGAAAGAGACAGCTGGATGTCAATGACCACATCGTCAAGGCTCTCAGTGAGGCAGTTTTGACTGGTGGACAGTCTTAGTGTCAGGAAACAAATTATTACAAAAGTGTAAGTTAAGCTCCATTCTCCCCGGAAGAACATGCTAAATTTCAGCTTAGTCTTAGTCATCAAAGGTCAGATAAACTCTCCCTCCTGCTTGAGTCTGCTTCAAGAAGATGGTACAGATGATGGAATCTCTCTCTAGGACAAAAACAGGAAATCATCAATGAGTTTTCTTTTTTTGAATGAACCTAGAGAAGCTACATTTCATTTCCTTCAAATCAATGTAAATGACTCACAATTCATAGAAGGCCAGAAATAAACAAGTAATTTTTATTCATTTCACTTTTAATAGATTTGAGACAACCTTTCATTGAAAACTTGGCAAAAAGCTAGTAAGCACACACACATATATTGGGTTGGCCAAAAAGTGCATTGGGGTTTTTCTATAGGATCGTACAGGAAAACCCTAATGAACTATCTGGCTAACCCAATGCTATCCAATTAATTATTAAAATCTGACAAATGTCTAAGAAAGAGGAGTAAAATACCATAGTAGTCTGCCTTTCAGTTTTAGAATCCTTCCTCTTCCTGCCTCTCCTAACAAGAGTGGGAAAAGACATAAAATCTGCAGTCATTGATGAAGCAGTAAATGATCACTGATCATTGGTTTGGACATATTTTCTCTCTCAGTAATAACAATTAACATTTTAAATCACCTACTGAGGGGAAGGCAATGTGCTAAAAGGTACATATACTATCCTAGTTAATTCTTACACCAGCTCTGCAAAAAAGCTATTATTTTTCTCATTTTACAGATGAGGAAACTGAGGCTGCCTTTTTTTATTGCTGTCTCTTTTTAAGTATCACACCAGAGGCAGGTTAATGCCAATAATCTAATTCTAGGAATTAGCCCATCAGCAGGGGGAATAGTCTACCTTAGTTGAAGGAAAGTGTAAGGGCAGGAGTTCTTTTTGACATCCCTAAAAACACAAAAGGAGATCCAACCAGTCCATCCTAAAGGAGATCAGTCCTGGGTGTTCATCGGAAGGACTGATGCTGAAGCTGAAACTCCAATACTTTGGCCACCTCATGCGAAGAGTTGACTCATTGGAAAAGACCCTGATGTTGGGAGGGATTGGGGGCAGGAGGAGAAGGGGACGACAGAGGATGAGATGGTTGGATGGCATCACCGACTCGATGGGCATGAGTTTGAGTAAACTCTGGGAGTTGATGGTGGACAGGGAGGCCTGGCGTGCTGTGATTCATGGGGTCACAAAGAGTCGGACACGACTGAGTGACTGAACTGAACTGAAAAACACAAAGTCCTAATACGTATTAATTCCAACTCCATTGGTGAGCTAGTTCTTCCAGGAAAAAAGAACAAGTTAAACTGGCAATGCTATACCAGAAACTATCCTCAGTTCTAGAATACAAATTGTTCATTAACGATAGCCTAGATCAGAATTACCAATTAAGTTTTCTTTTTAGGTCATGAAGCTTTTCGTAACCTTTTGGTCATGAACCCTTTGGTACTCTGGTGATGCTTAGGTTCTCTTCTGACATGTTTTAAAATGTATAAAAGACATGTTTTTAAATGTATAAAATGAAATATATAGGATAACAAAGGAAGATAGTCCAATGAAATGTAATCATTGAAGAGTTTTTTTTAAATCTACAAATCTGATGAAAGATACCAAGAATGATCTAAAGAAATCGAGAGATATTTCATGTTAATCAACAGCACTACTCAATATTGTTAAGATGTCAGTTCTTCCCAACTGAGTCTACAGATTCAATGTAATTTCAATCAAAATCCCAGTACATTATTTTATAGATCTCAACAAACCAATTTGAAAATTTTTATTTTATTTTTTGGCTGCACTGTGTGGCTTTTGAGATTTAGTTTCCCAACCAGGGATGGAATCCTAGCCCTTGGCTGAGAGAGCGCAGAGTCCTCACTAATGAACCACCAGGGAATTCCCTCAACAAGTCAATCTTAAAGTTTACATGGAAATGAAGAAAGGCCCAGAACAGTCAACACAACACTGAAGAAGAACAAAGCTGGAAGACTGACACTACCTGACTTCAACACTTAATCATAAACCACCAGTAATCAAGACAAGGTGCTATTGGCAAAAGAACAAACAAATAAATGAATGGGACAGAATAGCGAGCCCAGAAATAGACCCGAACAAATATAGTCAACTGATCTTTGACAAAGGAACAAAGGCAATTCAACAGACAAAGGATAGTCTTCTCAAAAATGGTGCTGGACAATTGGACAAAAAAGAAAAAAAAATCTAGACACTGACCTTACGCCTTTCACAAAAATTAACTCAAAATGGATCATAGACCTAATTATAAAATGCAAAGCTATAAAACTCCATGTAACATAGAATAAAGTCTCTGTGACCTTAGACTGGATGATGAGTTTCTAGATATGACACCAAAAGCACAATCTGTGAAAGAAAAAATTGGTAGGTTGGATTTCATTAAAATTAAAAACTTCTGCTCTGTGTAAGACACTGTTAAGAAAATGAAAAGCTAAGCCACAGGCTAGGAGAAAAGTATTTTCAAAGCACGTATTTGATAAATAACTGGTAGCTAAAATACACAAAGAACTCTTAAAACTTAACAAAAAGAAAACAAACTGCCCAATTAAAAGTGGGCAAAAATCTGGACACCTCCCCAGAGAAGCATATAAAAAGGTGCTCAATCTCACTGTCATTAGGGAATTGCAAATTAAAAGAACAAGATGCAGGCTTTCCTAGTGGCTCAGTGGTAAAGAATCCACCTGCCAATGCAAGAGACAAGGGTTCAATCTCTGTTCTGGGAAGATTTCACATGTTGTGGAGCAAATAAGACCATGCACCACAACTATTGAGCTTGTTTTCTAGACCCATGAGCTACAACTACCGAGGCCAGAAGCCGCAGCTACTGAAGCCCATGCACTCTAGAGCCTGAGCTCCACAGAGAAGCCCCGTCAGTGAGAAGCCCGCACACCACATCTGGTGAGTAGCCCTCATTCGCAGTAACTAGAGAAAACCTCGCACAGCAACGAAGACCCAGCACAACCAAAATAAAAAAATAAATAAAATAACTTTTAAAAAATAATGAGATGTCACGACACATTTACAAGAATGGCTAAAATTCAAAAAAACCGTTAATACTAAATCCTGACAAAAACCCACATACAAATATTTATAATAGGTTTTTTTATAATTGCCAAAAAAAACTAGAAATAGCCAAGATGTCCCTTACTAAGTCAAGGGATAAGCAAATTGTGGTATATCCCTATAGTAGAATATTATTCAGCAGAAATGAGTTATCAAGCCACAAAAAGAGGAACCTTAATTGTATATCATTTGGTGAAAGAAGGAAATGGCAACCCACTCCAGTATTCCTGCCTGGAAAATTCCATGGATAGAGGAGCTGGTGGGCTACAATCCGTGGGGTCACAAAGAGTCAGACAGGACTGAGCGACTAACAATTTCACTTTAACTGAAAGAAGCTAGTATCTGATTCCAACTCTATGACATTCTGGAAAAGGCAAAACAACATTGAGAGTAAAAGATCAGTTGTTGTCTGGAGGAAAGGGTGGAGTACAAAGGATTTTGAAGGCAGTGAAACTATTTTATATGACTCTGTAATGATGAAAGCATATCATTACATTTGTCAAAACCTACAGAGCTGTAAAATACAAGAGGGTACCCTAATATAAACAGGTAGACTTTGGTTAGTAAAAAAATCAACATAGATTTAAAAAAAATTATATGGTAACAAAGCACAATCTGTTATGTCTAACTTCCCAAAACAGCAAAATGAAAATAACACTGCTTCTCTATGTAAGCACATCATGTACATTATGTCATTTAATCCTTACATGAATTCTAGAAGCTAAATCCCATCAGCTCCACTTTCAGTTAAAAAAGAAAATAACTGTGATAAATGACAAGTGGTACATCTAATCAATGGCATAATTTTTTGAATGACCCGTTTTTAATTTAATTTTTAAAGGCGTATAGTTGTTTTACGATGTTGTTGTAGTTTCTGCTGAACATGAAGCGAATCAGCTATAAGCATACACATGTCCCCTCCCTCTCGAGCCTCCTTCCCACCCCACCCCTAGATGATCACAGAGCCCGGAGCTGAGCTCCCTGGGCTGTAGAACAGCTTCCCACTAGCTGTCTATTTTACACAGGGTGGTCTGTATATGTCAATCTATTCTCCCAATTCATCTCATGCTCCCTTTCCCCCACTGCGTCCACATGTTGGTTCTCTACACCTGCATCTCTATTCCTGCCTTGCAGACAGGCTTGTCTGTACCATCTTTTTAGATTCCATACATGTGTATGAATTCATATATGATATTTGTCTCTTTCTGACTTACTTCATTCTCTACGACAGACTCTACCCAGGTCCATCCACATCGATACAAATGACCCAATTTCGTTCCATTTTATCACTGCCATAATTTTGAAGTAGCGTCGAATGTAATGATTTTGAGACATATTCAGTCAGGAATGCGATACAGAAATAAGTACCACTTCTGCCAGAGGCAAATCAGAGCTACCCTGCCACTAATCCCACTGTGGCTTTTGCCTACACGCCTCTTAAAGGAAATATGACACTGCATTTAGAGGTTAGCAAAATAAACTTTTCCACCCAAGTTCACAGATTTTCTGAATGCTGTCCATGGACTCCCCCCGCCCACCAACCCCAGGGTAAGAATCCTGGCACAAGTTACTTCGCCCAGGGTAAGAATCCTGGCACAAGTTACTTCATACGCTACCACACTTTGCAAATCTCTTCTAGTCACTAGAAGAAGAAGAAAAAAAAACCAACAGAAACAAAAATAACAAAAACCAGACCAACACTTGGCTTTGAATGGATTCTAAGAGTCTCTCCTGAAGCTGCTGCAATGAAAGGAACTGTGATGTGGGATACAGGAGGAAAGCTGTGCTTTTAGTACAGCATCTTTTCTGTGTCTGCAAGCAGGAATGAAGAGCTTATCTCATTAACGATACCCAACCATTACTAGGTAAATTAATTCTTCCAATCCATTTATTATTTAGGTCTTGAAGGTCCAAAGAGGAACA